AAAAATAAAAAATAAAAAAGTAAAGTCTTAGGGCACCTGGCTGGCTAAGACCGTTAGCCAGTTGGTGGAGCAATGAACTCTTGATCTTGGGGTTGTGACTTCGAATCCTGCATTGGGTATAGAGATGACTTTATTAATTTTTTAAAATTTATTTGAGAGAGAGAGCATGAGAGAGAGCAAGCACAAGAAGGGGGGAAGGGCAGAGGGAGGGGGAGAAGCAGGCCCCCTGCTGAGCAAAGAGCCCAAGGCGGGGCTTAATCCCAGGACCCAGGATCATGACCTAAACTGAAGGCAAATGCCTTAACTGACTGAGCCACCCAGGTGCCCCTAGAGACGACTTAAAAAAAATAAAATCTTTAAAAAAAAATGAAGTCCTAATTAAAAGCAAAACTTCATGCCTTTAATCCAGTATTTCACTTCTAAGACTTAATTACAGATGAAATATTCACAAACATGGGCAAGATTTATGTAGAAAAATTTTTATTACAGTTATATGAAATCAATAAAAATGGAAAACAACTCAAATATTCAATAAGAAATTATGATACATTCATATGCTGAAATACTGTGTAGCATTTAAAGTAATGTTTTTAAAGAACTGTAATGGAGGGTAAAATTTTCACAAGGTTATTTTCTTTCTTTTTTTTTTTAAAGATTTTATTTATTTATTTGAGAGAGAGAATGAGATAGAGAGAGAGAGAGCATGAGAGGGGGGAGGGTCAGAAAGAGAAGCAGACTCCCTGCCGAGCAGGGAGCCCGACATGGGACTCGATCCCCGGACTCCAGGATCATGACCTGAGCCGAAGGCAGTCGCCCAACCAACTGAGCCACCCAGGCGCCCTCACAAGGTTATTTTCAATGAAAAGCAGGATACAATTATACATATATGATCTTTGTCTTAGTTCATTCAGGCTGCAACAACAGAATAACATAGACGGGTGCCTTATTAACAACAGAAATCCATTTCTCACAGTTTCTCACAGGTGGAGAAGTCCAAGATCACCAAGGATCATCAGATTCCACATCTGGTGAAGATTCATAGACAGTAAACAGTCTTCTCCCTGAATCCTTACATAGCAGAAGGGCCAGAGAGCTCTCTGAAGTCTCTTTTACAAGGGCACTATTCCCATTCATGAGGGCACAGCCTCCATGACCTAATCACTTCCCAAAGGCCCCCCTTCCAAATACCATCATTTGGAGATTAGATTTCAACATATGAATTTGGCAGTGACACAAACATTCAGTCTATGGAAGTCTTGGTTTAATGACAAGAAGGGAATAGACTGGAAGAGGGCGCCGGGGGGCTCAGTCTGTTAAGCGTCTGCCTTTGGCTCAGGTCATGATCCTGGAGTCCCAGGATCAAGTCCCACGTTGGGCTTCCTGCTCAGCGGGGAGTCTGCTTCTCCCTCTGACCCTCTCCCATCTCATTCTCTCTTTCTCAAATAAATAAATAAATAAATAAATAAAATCTTTATTAAAAAAGGACTGGAAGAAAATAGGAATATTAATCATCATTTTCTTTGGGTGATAGGATTATGGGTGATTTTTATTTCTTTATGTTTCTATATTTTTCAAGTTTTCTTTCTTTTTGTAAGATTTATTTATTTATTTTAGAGAGAGAGAGAGAGCATGAGCAGGAGGGGCAGAGGGAGAGGGAGAGAGAATCTCAAGCAGACTCAGTGCTGGCTTGGAGCCCAATGCAGGGCTCAATCTCAGAACCCTGAGATCACAACCTGAGCCAAAACCAAAAGTCGGATACTCAACCGACTGTACTACCCAAGCACCCCTCAAATTTTCTAAAATAAACATCTTATTTCTTTTTAAAAACAATGGAAATAGATAAAAGCAGTAAATGAGAAGTAGGAGAAATTATCAGTGATTCTGGACCTCCCAGAAAGTTTTTCCTAATATCCACTTGGGCCAAACCCAGATGGCCTCATGCCTTCCACTATCATGTTACACAGAACTGGGTGGCAATTCCAGTTTTACCACTTGTCTAGGTGAATAGCCTTATACAAGCAAGTAACTTATTTTGTGTGCTCTTACATTCTTAATTTATAAAAGTGATGTAAAATCTCACAGATTGACAGGAGGATTAAGTGAAATAATCCATGAAAAGCCCAGGAACATTGTCTGAACTCACTAAAAATGTATTCCCTCCCTTACTCTGGAAGTAGAGCAAAACACCTGCAGATCTGTAGGTGGAAGAGACATTGATGCAGAGTTGTGTGGTGAAGAAGGGACTCAGGATGTCAAGTGGGTACCACCTCTGCACTACAACCCTTATCCTCATATTAATGGCTGTGGAAAGGAGGCGAACACTAATTAATGATGTAGACAATGACATGATTAAGGGATACCCCTAGGAACAAACAAGAGCCCCTTCTCCAAGTCATCAGGCAAGGGTCAGCCCTCTTCTGAGAGTGCTGCCTGGAGTCAATCAGCTTTTGACTACATAGTTGAGATGGTTATCATACTGAAGCCAATGATCCTTGAAGACAAAATAATCTCCAATGCTTCTTTCTGCTCTGATTATAATGCTATAATTGTAATAAGCAAATGCTGATAGGAATTTATTCAAATCTATCCTGTCTTCCATCTTTTAGTGCTTGGCAGGTTTCTTTCAAGTTCCATGGGCCATGACAATCCAGGGGACGTTGTTTGGAAGTGTGAAATAAGATTATTTAAACTCCAGCAGCAGGAGCCCTTCTCAGAGTAAGGAGAAGGGTGTAGGTCCTGAGCCCTTAACAGGGCTCTTGCAACTGCACCCTTCCCCTAGGGAGTCATGCACTAATCTCCATTTAGCAGGATTCCCTAGGGCTAGGGGCCTTAAAACACCGCTGGAATTCCCAAGCCTTAAAATGCTAGTGTGTGTGTGTTGAGATAAGGATGGGCAGCGGGGGATGGGGGAAGAATCCCGAAGGAGAAAGGAGGGTTTGGTTTTGGTTTTGGTTTGAAGCTAAAAAACAGACATTCTGGATAGTACCATTCAGGAACTCCACTTCTCTTAGCTCTCTTGTGGTCAACAGATCCCAGGAGAGTCTATGACGTCATCACTCATCTGTTACCTTTTCTCTACTGCCTTCCCCAGCCACTGTCAAGTCGCCTGCTCCTGGTCACCATAGCAACCGTGACGAGCCAGCATCCAGCTCTGCTGCACTGACTTCTCCAACCCCAGCTGAGATGCAGCAGTGAGGACAAGAAGCGAGAGGCAGACACCCAGGATCTCATTCCTTCCTTGTTGCCTCGACTGTGAATCCCTGGACCCCGGGAGAGAATTGCAGAGAAGGGACAAGGGGGAGAAACGGATGTACCGTGGAGCCTCCCCATGCTAGCCTTCGGTGGGGGTCCAGCGGGAAGGGGGAGTGTGCAGCACTAAAGATGTGTGCAGCCAGAGCAGCCGCACCTGCATGCTGAGGACCATGGAGAGCCAGCACTTATTCTGTATTGAGGAGATGCCCTTTGAAGCCCTAATCGGTGAGTACCATCAAGTCTTCCTTTGGGGGGAAAATCTCCCAAATGACAAGGTTATATGTCTTGATTACTGCCTTAAAAAAAAAAAAAATCACATCTTTAAATTGCTTGTGATTGGGAAGTATTTTCCCTTCTGACATCTTTGGATTTCTTGGAATTATTATTTCTGCTCTCTTTAAATGCACTACTCCCTTAACCAGTGGGAGTTACACTCCAGTCTGTGTCTCCATTACCACACAACACCCCACTGGTGCGGATACCAAGCATCACAAATAAACACTCCAAAGCCTATCAGAGAAGCATTAGGGCTCAGTTTCCCAGCACCTTCATCCCATTTGCTTTGCGTTCCTATCCTACAATCAAAGAAATAAGGTCCCCAGGCAAACCAGTGGCATGCCAGATGTCAGAGGAATGCCAGGAAGTCCTTGTCGAAGCCGCGTCCTTTCTGGTGAGCTCAAGGAAATGAATCCATTACCTCAGCCAGAAGAATCAATTGTTACTCGAGGAGAGAAATCCACTTCATTCCAGTAGAGGGCGCTAGCGCTTGCCTGCACAGCCCAAAGGCGAAATAGGCGCACACACACGCATGTACTGGGAAGCTGCGGGGGATGCAGCACACTCCTTCTCTTGGAGATTTTTAACAAAAGGATGGTCAAGTTCATTCCTTCCTGGAAGCAAAGGGAAGCGCCAGATGGCTTCTAGGGGACTGCATCTTGTTTTAGAATCGAATGATTACGATTCCATGGCAAAATACTTTCTACTAAGTCCTTTCCTTGCCAGACAATCCTTCTCATTCCTCTCCAACACCCCCCCACCTCCAAAAAAAGCTTTCTTATTGGTCTTGCACTGTGATCAACTACTTAGAATTTTCATTGTTATTAAGATTCCTTTCAAGGGAAAGGTGAAATCTTGTTAAAAGATAAACAGAAGGCTGAACTGTTGGGTCTCTGCAGTACTATTCAGTGGTTCTCAGCCCTGGCTGCATGTTGGAACACCTGGGGAACTTTTAAAAAATACTGATGCCTGGGTCCCATCCCCAGAGACTCTGACTTAATTGGTCTGGGACACAGCCTAAGCAGTGTGTTTTTTAAAGGCTCCCAGGTGATCCTAATGAACTAAGTTTGCAATCCACCATTCCAGTCGATATTAGGATGACATTTTTCCAGTTGAGCTTGATAATTAAACTAAGCCTCTCAAATAAGCTACTGCTGTAAGGCAAGGTAAATAACTGTTGTGAATGCCTAGAAGCTACTAGCTAAGACAGATGGCAGGGATCCAGCTGCTCAGAGGCTCAGGATGAAGGTGATGTTTCAGAGGAGGGAGGGAGCAAGCATCTCTCTCAAAATAGGTTCTCTCACTAAATGAGATTTTTTTTTTTTTAGATTTTATTTATTCATCGACAGAGAGAGAGGGAACACAAGCAGGGCGAGTGGGAGAGGGAGAAGCAGGCTTCCTGCTGAGCAGGGAGCCCAACGTGGGGCTCGATCCCAGGACTCTGGGATCATGACCTGAGCTGAAGGCAGATGCCTAACGACTGAGCCACCCAGGCGCCCCTAAATGAGATGTTCTGATTTATATTCCAGGGCAAGGGGGAAAAGAGACATGTGCCTTTACAAGTCTGTAGGGTGAAAGCCAGGGCTCCCTGTAGATTTATAAACGTCTGTTGGTACTAACCAGGGTCACATGTGTAAATCTTCCATCCACTGCAAGGAGAATGGACGTAGAAAAAGAGGAGGGGTTAAGAATGCAGTGGTCACTCTAAAGAAGGGACAAGCAACGATAAGATCACCTAAGAATTATAAAGTGTTATCCTTCTCAGGCTGAAAACCCTTCCAAATGGCTTGAACTCCTCCTAAGCTTGAAGGGAATCCTAAATCTTAGGTTCCCTGAAAATTCAGGCACCAGGGTAAGCTGGTCCCTACAAGCACTCTTGCAGACTGGAGGGCACACCTTGTGGGAGGTTCTTCCAGTGCTCAAACTGTAATGTTATCTCGTGAATATTCATTCATGAGTGCTGTGAAGCAGGTGGGAGGCAGAAACTATACAGCAATACCTAAGGTCCTCAAGACGATGAGGTAAGGCCTCAAAACTCTGGGCATGAGAAGTTCGAATTTTTAAATACATTATTCAGTATCATCTACCAGCCTGGAGTAAGAAATTCACCCGTCCCAGCTGTCTTTTGCTCGGGCTTTAATTTTGGTTAGAGAAATGGGTACGCCCTCCTTGAGGAACAGGTATGAAAGCATTGTATCTTCTGAAACCCTCAGCAAGCCTCAGTCATTCACCAAATAAAAAGGCAAGAGAATTCGGGTTCTGTTTAAAGATCATACAGGCTACCCGATGTGGATCAAAAGCCTTATGTGCCAGGGCCACTGAGGGAGTAACCGGGAGGTATTTCCTGACCACAGAACGACCACAACTTCCCCACACTGCTACATGGGATTATTCGTATTCCTGCATTCTCAGGCTCTGACCTAGACAAGTCCTTCCCTGGTGCCTCTCTCCCAGCAATCCAAGACAGTTGTAACAACCTCCACCCTGCCCTTTAGTCATTGTTTTCCTAGTCTGTGCATAGCCGCACACACAACACTATTTTGTCCCCTTCTGGAGCCCACCAGGCCCCCTGAGACAGTGCCTTCACTTACCCGCCATGGGCCTCCCCTAGGCTTTCCCCAGCATTCACTTGGAAAATCGGGCCATAGGCATGCTTCACCTTGCCTGCTCTTAGCGCTCTCAGCTGAACTGGAGCTGCTTTCTTCTAATTCCACGTGAAGGATGGCTCCCAGCGGCTTCTGCTACCTCAAACCCAAAGGCCCTCTCCCGACAGGCCACCTCAGAGCTGATCCACCTCACAGGGCAGGCCAGGCCAACCCTGTGAAGGCTCCCAGTCCACTAGATGGTTACACTGTTCAAGAGCAAAACCATGTCTCATCTCTCTCTGCCCCTCCCCGCCATGACCACCAATATCTAGTCTCTGAAAAGAGGCAGTTTACTTCACAGGCCCTGGAAGAAAATGTCCAATTGACCCGACTTACTTCATTTATATCCGTTCATCTTCAGGTGTCATCCAAGCTCAGAGTGGGAATACTTAACAGGATTGTGATGCATTAATAAAATCCTATTTTATATTTTTTCAGGCTCATCCATGGGTCATGAAATCAGTTTGGTGGGTCATGACCAGCATTTTAAGAAGAAAACTAAATAGAATAGAAAATATCAGAGTGGGTCCTCTGCAGTGAGCGGAGGCTTTGTTCCTTAAAACTTGTGTTTCAGTTTTATCTCTATATATTTGTGTGCACTGAGTCATGATGCAAAATACATTTCTTACCGTGGGTCACAATCAAGAAAGTTTTAAAGTCTTTTCCTTATTGCAAACACTGGCAAAAACTAAAGTCGAATCAAAATTAAATATTAAAAAGTTGAATTCTAGGAAAGCTAACAAAAAATAGAATTCACTACATTTTATACCTGTGGATTACTTTGAATCAATAAAGAATCCATGGGGGGACTGTTAATTCAAATTCAAATTTAAAATTTCTGACACATGAAAAATGAATAGAGTGGGGGAAATATTTGCATTATATAATACAGATTAAAAGTTCATGTCCTTTGGGCGCCTGGGGGGCTCAGTCATTAAGCGTCTGCCTTCGGCTCAGGTCATGATCCCAGCGTCCTGGGATCGAGCCCCGCATGGGCTCCCTGCTCTGCGGGAAGCCTGCTTCTCCCTCTCCCACTCTCCCTGCTTGTTGTGTTCCCTCTCTTGCTGTCTCTCTCTCTGCTGAAAAATAAATAAAATCTTTAAAAAAAAAGTTCATGTCCTTTAAACAAAGAATTCATTTCAGAAAAGGAGAGAGATGGGGTGTTGAAAAGGGAGAAGTAGAGTTAAGCATTGACTTGGGCTATTTGAAGGCTTATTTCTAGAAGGCCTTTTTATCCCAGGTGTTTCAATACAAGAAAGTGAGTGAGAGTCACAACTTCTGTTCTTCCTACACTGAACTGCTCTTTTGAGATTGAACAAAACCTTTTTTTTTAAAGATTTTATTTATTCATTCATGAGAGACAGAGAGACAGAGAGAGAGAGAGGCAGAGGGAGAAGCAGGCTCCCAAGGAGCAGGGAGCCCGATGCGGTACTCGATCCCAGGACCCTGAGATCATGACCTGAGCCGAAGGCAGACGCTTAACCATCTGAGCCACCCAGGCGCCCCAGAACAAAACCTTTAATAAAGTATTTTGAATACTACAAAACAAACCCTTCGGAGTTAAAAAAAAACACATTAGAATTCCATGCATAGCTATATACTGTATGATTCCATTTACATGACATTCTGGAAAAGACAAAAAAAATAAGGTTAGCAATTGCCAGGAAATGGAGATGTGGGGGAGAAGTTAACTACAAAGGGGAACAAGGAGAGTTTGGGGATAATAGAGCTGTTTTATAATGGCATATATTTGTTAAAAGCCAGAACTATACACTAAAAAGAATAAATTTTTAATATGTAAATTATATCTCCATAAACCTGACTGGGGGGAAAAAAACTCCATGGGTAAATTCAGGGTCCATAAAAAGAAATTCACTCACCTGAGGAAGTAAATGAGCAAACAAACACATAGGTATGTATTTATTTTGACAGCTATCAGAAGTGCAAATTATAACACTGTTTTAACAGTGTTTAAATTTTTTTAACATTTTAACTTTTTTTTTTTTAACATTTTAACTGTTTAAAACAGTGATACTGTTTTACTTTTTGCTAATGATTAACAAATTTTAAAAACTGGGGCACCTGGATGGCTCAGTCAGTTAAAGGTCTGCCTTCAGCTCAGGTCATGATCCTGGAGTCCCTGGAATAAGCGCCACGCTGGGCTCCCAGCTCAGCTGGGAGTCTGCTTCTCCCTCTCCCTCTGCTCCTCCTCCCCACTCATGTCCCCTCTCTCTCTCGCTCGCTCGCTCACTCACTCTCAAATAAATAAATAAATAATCTTAAAAAAAATAACATAATGCTGTT